TCGCCATGAGTGGGCATGGAGCTAGCTTCCTGGCCAATCAGGAAGTCAGGTGCCGCGTCATTACATGGCGCCGAGCTTCCTGATTGGCCAGAAAGCCGGCTCCATGCTTTCTCGTCATTTAGTGACAAGAAGCATGGATTATGGCTTCCCTGCTAATCAGGAAGCCAGGTGGCGAGTAATTACATGCCGACTGGATTCCTTAATGGGACTTCCGGTATCGGTATCGGCGATTTCCCCTTCGTGTTCTGATAAAAACTCCAAGTTTTCTACTTTTGTCACCAGGACAAATAAACAGGGTGATGCTCCCTAACAGAGCAATAAAAGTCTGACAAGGGTAACCATTTTATCAGTGGCGGAACTATCGCCATAGCGACCCAAGCGGCAGCTATAGGGCCCGGGGCACAGGGGGGCCCGGCCAGGACCAGCAACAAAGGGGTCCCCCTGATGCCGTGCAGGAGGAATGCACAGGTGTCAAGATCACTGACAACCTGTCAGTGATCTGTGCAGCGGCGCGTTCCTCCTCACAGCTGCTGCTGAGTCAGTGACAGCCAGCAGCTGTCGTGTTGGAGGCTGGGGGCCTGGTGGCGGCGGTGGAGGAGGAGTCTGGGCTTGGCGGCAGTGGAGGAGGCTGACAGCGGATCGGGGCTGACAGGTAAGAGGTGTGCAGGGGTGTGACCAGTCCACCTAAGACCCTGCAGAGCCTACCATAAATAGTCTATGGTGGGCTCTCCAGGGTCACTCTCAGGTGGGCTGTGTGGGATCTCAGGTGGGCTATGCAGGGTCTATGGTATGTGTGGGGTCTCAAGTGGGCTCTGCAGGGTGTCAGGTGGGCTGTGCGTGGACTATGGTATGTGCAGGGTCTCAAGTGGGCTGTGCAGGGTGTCAGGTGGGCTGTGCAGGGTCTCAAGTGGGCTGTGCGGGGTCTCTGGTATGTGCAGGGTCTCCGGTGGGCTGTGCAGGGTCTCTGGGATGTACGGCATCTCAAGTGGACTCTGCAGGATCTCAAGTGGGCTGTGCGGAGTCTCGGGTGGGCTGTGCGGGGTCTCTGGTGGGCTGTGCGGGGTCTCGGGTTGGCTGTGTGGGGTCTCAGGTGGACTCTGCGGGGTCTCAGGTGGGCTCTGCAGGGTTTCAGGTGGATTCCGCAGGGCATCTGGTGGGCTGTGCGTGGTCTATGGTGTTCTGGAGGTAGGTCCTTTTTTTTTGGGTGGGAGGGCGGTTTAGGGGAGAGGGGGATAGTCCATACAAAATTTTGCTATGGAGCCCAGTGATTTGTAGTTACGCTCCTCTGCATTTTATCCAACATTTTATGTTAAAAAAAATGTACTTTAAGATATTCTTTAACTGCTTCATGACCACCGTACGGATATAAACGGCAGCAACCTGTAGCAGCCATGATCTTGGTATAATTTTTTACAGCCAGTAATGGCTCTCACTTACAAACATTCTCTTATGTGGTGCTGGGGAATGTGTGCTCCCCCTCCGCTGCCTTTGCTTGCTCTTCCGAGCTCTGCTGTCCCCCATGTGGGCCCGGGACTGGCATGACGGGTCTGTGTACCTTAATCAGAGGGAAATCAGTACACTTCCAGCGGCTGGCCTCCCCTCCGTTCACTGAACCGGGAAGCCATGTGTATTACATCACTTCCAGTTTCAATGTGTAATTTCTCCGGAGAAGAAGCTGGTGAAGCAGATCTCTGCTAACATCGGCTTCTTTGGGGTCTATAGGTGACATTAGTGGCATAATAGAGTCCTGATGTCTCCATAGAGAGAACCAGTCTCATCTTCCTTGCTATCACATAGGGGGCTTGTTACCCCCTGTGATGGCACTAAAGTTAACTGTAAAAAAAAAAGCTTTACAAATTAAAGTCACATATAAACAAATTAAAAAAAAAAAAAAAATCTGCCCCCACTTACACACATACATATGCAAACACACATCAGGTGCGCCACACATGTTATATATCGCTGCGGACGTTGGAGTGACAACAATAATTCTAGCTCCATCAATCATTGTTAACAATAAATTCGTGAGCGGTAAAACCTTTTAAATCGACGCCTATGGTCAATTTTGGGTGTTGTAGTTTATATGGATATCTAACTTTACCCCCATAACCCATCCCATTAAGCAAGCAGTGCTTTGTCATAGACATCCTGAACAAGGAACGAAACACTGTACAAGTGCACAGGGACACCCGTGGCCCTGAGTTGGTTTGCGACCGTACCTGGGAACTTTTAGAAACTGTAATTCCTAAACTGTGGGTGGGGTGGTGGGTGGAGTGGTAGGCGGAGCTATTGCAGGTGTGTACAATTTTGTTGTAAGCGTGGGTGGGACTTACACGCTAGGTGCAGAACCTACAGAAAGGTGGATAGGTGGGATCCACGTGCACTGTATGTACACCATTCCAGTGACACTGATAATTCACCTGGTTTCCACCTATCCACCATCCTAATAACATTTACATTGCCTGTAGGCAGGAGCCAGGGGCATTGTTTACATCTCTGGAACAAATTAAATTCTGGAGATGTAAACGTTCCAATAATGATCCAGCAGCCGTATCAGAAGTTCCGGTTTTGCCTGGCAAGTTCCCACCGCTGATTATAATGAATACTTCTTCATCTCAAGACCAACCAACATGCAACATTTTGGCCTCATTCACACTGCTTAGAGCTGGCCTGTACTGAACCGTGTGGCGCGCGCGGCCGTTTCAGGCCATTCCTGGGAAGGACAGGTGCTGCGTGTGATTGTACGCAGCAGCCTGTTCTTCTCTATGGGAATACGCGGCCGTACGCTCACTGTACGTGCCAGTGGCGGACCTACCGCCGGTGCAGCCGGTGCGGATCATCCGTTCATCCGACACTCCCGGCGCAGGGATGGGGGGCCCGCTAGCCGCCGCATCCGGTGCTATCCGGTGGCCGGCAAGTCCCACCATCTATGCACAGGGACTGTGCTGGGCCCCCCCAGGCTGAGGCCTCGCGCTTCCGGGGGCCTCACGCCCGCCAGACCTGCCACCGCAATGATCTGCATGCCCTGTATGTTACGCCAGCTCACAGCGCAGCCTGAAGAAACATTCGCCGGCTCAGAAGCAAGTGAGGGAAGCGGGGACATAGGATATCCCTGCCCCCTCACCATTCTACAGGTCTGCTGCGCAAGGATCGGAGGTAAGAGATGCAATGTAGAGGAGGGCCTAGAGAGATGTGACTGGAGAAAGATATGTGATTGGAGAAGGGGGGCTGAGGACATGTGATTGGAGAAGGGGGTCTTTAGATATGTAGGAAAGAAAGCATCCCTGCTTTCTTTCCTCCCCTCTGTGTCCCAGCGGAGAGGAGAGAAAGTGTGACAGCCGGCCGAGCGTTGCGGGAGGAGAGCGCTGTGTTTGTGGGTTTTTTTTGGGGGGGGGGGGCAAAAAAAATCTTGCATTAGGGCCCTTTGTTCCTTAGGTCCGCCACTGGTACGTGCAGGTGCGGGTGTCCGTACCCGTAGGCAGACAAGATGGATGCACGTCGCACGTATCTGTACGTGCAGGCTCTTAGCTGTGTGGCTGAGGCCTTAACGAAGCTCAATGGTTTCTAAACATCCATGGTTCGGACCACGTTTCTCTTCAGGCCTTGGTTGTTAGGACCGCTGGCATCCTAGCAACCAATGACATTAGAGGTCCTCCTCTGCAGTCATTGGTTGCTTGGACCACTAAGCAGTCCTAGTAACCAATTACTTTGGGGTCCTCCTCTGCAGTCATTGTTTTTTTTTACCACGGGGCAGTAATGGTTTCTTAGATTACTGGGCACTCCTAGCAACCAATGACCTTGGGGTCCTCCTCTGCAGTCATTGGTTTCTTGGACCACTGGGTAGTCCTAGCAACCAATGACCTTGGGGTCCTCCTCTGCAGTCATTGGTTTCTTGGACCACTGGGCAGTCCTAGCAACCAATGAAGTTGGGGTCCTCCTCTGCAGTCACTGGTTGCTAGGACCGCGCAGACATCAGAGATCCACCTCCCCTCCTGCAGCTCCCGCTCATGGACTTTAAAAAAACTAAAACAGTTTGTGCAGTGTGCAGG